AGTATGTACATACGTACTCTTGAAAAGTGTCAAGGTCATGAAAGACAAGGACTGTTTCAGAATAAAGAAAACTAAGGAGAAATGATAGCTAAAGGCGATATGTGATCCTAGACTGCTAAAGGACACTATTGGCTCAAACCAATGAAATATGAATGGAGCTGGTGGATTAGATCATAGTATCCAATCAATGTTAACTTTTTAATGATGGTTATACGGGAGTGTCCTGGTACTTTAAAACGTACACTGAAGAATTAAGGTGTAATAAGGCAACACGTCTGCAACTTATTCTTTAATAGTTCAGAAATATTAACAATTAAGTAATCTGGGAGAAAGGCATAAGGAGCTATAAATGCTATTTCTGTAACATTTATGTAAATTTCAAGTTACTTTAAAATAAAAAGTTAGAAAGTTTAAAACATAATAGAACATAACCCATTAAATAAATCTGAGTCCAGGCAGGACACAGTGGTTCATGCCTGTAATCCCAGTACTTTGGGAGGCCGAGGTGGGCAAATCACTTGACGTCAGGAGTTCTAGACCAGCATAGCCAACATGGCAAAACCCCATCTCTACTAAAAATAAAAAAAACTGACTGGACAACACAGTGGCTCACGCCTGTAATCCCAGCACTTTGGGAGTCCGAGGTGGGTGGATCATGAGGTCAGGAGCTCGTGACCAGCCTGACCAACATAGTGAAACCCCGTCTCTAAAAATACAAACAAAATTAGCCGGGAGTGGTGGCACGTGCCTGTAATCCCAGCTACTCAGGAGGCTGAGGCGGGAGAATCACTTCAACTCGGGAGGCAGAGGTTGCAGTGAGCCAAGATCACGCCACTGCACTCCAGCCTGGGCCACAGAGCAAGACTCGGTCTCCAAAAAAAAAAAATTAGCCGGGCGTGGTGGCACGCACCTGTAGTGCCAGCTACTTGGGAGGCTGACAGGAGAATTGCTTGAACCTGGGAGGTGGAGGTTGCAGTGAGCCGAGATTGCACCACTGCACTCCAGCCTGCCTGGGTGACAGAGTGAGATTCCGTCTCAAAAAATAAGCAAATAAATAAATAAATAGAAAATAAATCTGAGTCCATACTAACTAAATGGGGGGTAGCAGATTAATAAACAAAATGAAATGACAAAAAAAGGAATGACAGAATTAGAAAATCACACTGTAGAAATGATTGACTCAAGCGAGAATTATCAATGGATGGTAAAAATATTGGGTGAAACCTTGATGAACAATTTGCAGTCACAAAGTATCTCCCCACAACTTACTTTTCAATTACAAAAGGAAAGTAACTGCAGCAGAGACCTGGAAGATACCACCTTAATCAAGTGATCCAAGTTACAACAATAAAGGGACTTGGCATCATTAGTCTAATGATGTGTGCAATGAATAGGACATACTGTTTACATAGTATTTATACCAGAAATGCATAAACTGAATCTAATCATGAGGAAATATACAAACCCAAATTAAAGGACTAGCCTGTTCTCTGCAGAAGTGTCAATGTCATGAAAGACAAAAGAAAATCTAGGGAATTGTTCCAGATTAAAAGAGACTAAAGAGACTAACTACAATGTGTGACTAGGGAGGAGTTGGCTATAATGGATATTAATGGAACAATCTGGCAAAGGTTGAATGCACAGTATATTAGATAATACTAAATGTTAAATTTAATGGGATAACTTTTCTGTGATTATATGTTTAAAATATTCTAGTCCTTCTCACCCACAGTTTTGTTTTCCATGGTTTCAGCTGCCCACAGTCAACTGTGGTTCGAAAATATTACATGGAAAATTCCAGAAATAAACAGTGGGGGATGCTCTAAAACCCCGAGTGAATGCCTGAATCCATGGATAACACCAAATCCTACACATATTGTTTTTTTCCTATACATAATACTTGTGATAAAGTTTAATGGGTAAATTAGGCATAGGAAGAGATGAACAATAATAAAACAATTGTAACAATATGTCAACATCATTTCTCTAGCACTTTGGGGCCATCATTAAGCAATGTACTTGGATAAAAGCACTACAGGCTGGGTGAGATGGCTTATGCCTGTAACCCCAGCACTTTGGGAGGCCGAGGCAGGCAGATCACTTGAGGTCAGGAGTTCCACACTGGCCCGGCCAACGTGATGAAACCTCGTCTCTACTAAAAATACAAAAATTAGCAGGGTGTGGTGGTGCACACCTGTAGTCCCGGCTACTCGGGAGGCTGAGGCAGGAGAGTTGCTTGAACCTTGAGAGCGGAGGTTGCAGTGAGTCATGATCGTGTCACTGCATTCCAGCCTGGGTGACAGAGCGAAACTCTGTCTCAAAAAAAAAAGCAAAACAATACTGCAACAGTTGATCTGATAACCCAGATGGCTACCAAGTGACTAATACACGGTGAATCCATACAGCATGGATATGCTAGGTAAAGGAATGATTCGTGTCCTGGGTGAGATGGAACGGGATTTCATCACAATACTCAGAATGGTGTACCATTCAGGCCAGGCGTGGTGGCTCACGCCTGTAATCCCAGCACCTCGGGAGGCCGAGGTGGGTGGATCACCAGAGGTCAGGAGTTCAAGACCAGCTTGGCCAACATGGCGAAACCCCGTCTCTACTAAAAATACAAAAAAATTAGCTGAACATTGTAGCACACGCCTGTAATCCCAGCTACACAGGAGGCTGAGGCACGACAATCACTTGAACCTGAGTGGCAGAGGTTGAAGAGAGCCAAGATCGCACCACTGCACTCCAGCCTGGGTGACAGAGCGAGACTCCATCTCAAATAATAATAATAAAAATAAATAATAAAATAAAAAAGAACGGTGTACAATTTTAAACTTATATACTATTTCTGGAATTTTTCATTTAGTATTTTCGAACCACAGTTAACCACAGGTAACTGAAACCATGGGAAGCAAAACTGCAGGTAAGGGGAGACTACAGTATCTTAAATATTAAATTGCCACTTGTCAGGCTGACAGACTCAAAGTTTCATCATGCACTCATGGAACCAATCTAGAGTCAGTTTTCCCTTAGCACTATCCCACCAAATAATTTCAGAACTGGAGACCTGTGTTTTTGCTTTTATCACAACAGGTTAAAAAGGAGAATAACTTTTTAATACAAACTTAACTTTTGGTCAAGATGTCATGGATGTTCTTGGTATTTTTGATCCTAACAGTCTTTGCCATTTTCACTATGAACTTCAGTCTGTGGAATCTGCCTAGACTGAAGTTTTTTTTTTGCCAGGACTAATCATTCAGGCATAGAAGCTCTCATTATTGGCAAAATTAGAGGGTAGCAAACTTCTCCCTGACTTGCAACATCAAGAAAGGTTTGCCCATAAAATAGAGATTCTGCTATTCGAGTTTCATTTGGTAAAATAAGTTCATCATTTTCACAGGACTACTGGATTGCCAGAAAGAGTGCTGCAACCTCTTCTGTAACTCAATACAAGGTTTGTATTACATAACTTGACTTACTAGGCAAAAAATAGGGATCACTTTTAAGTGGTGGCTCACGCCTGTAATTCCAACACTGTGGGAGGCTCAGGCGGGTGGATCACTTGAGGTCAGGAGTTCCAGACCAGCCTGACCAACACGGCAAAACTCCGTCTCTACTAAAAACACAAAAACTAGCTGGCATGGTGGCAAACACCTATAGTTCCAGCTACTCAGGAGGCCTAGGAACCCAGAAGGCGGAGGTTGCAGTGAGCCAAGATCACGCCACTGCACTCCAGCCAGGGCGACAAAGCAGATCAAAAAAACAGACAAAAATCTAACCTAATGGCTTTTTTAAGAGTCTCACTGTGTGGTCCAGGCTGGAGTGCAGTGGTGCAATCTTGGCTCACTGAAGACTCTGCCTCCCAGGTTCAAGTGATTCTCCTGTCTCAGCCTCCCTAGTAGCTGAGATTACAGGCTTGCCCGACCACAGCCGGCTAATTTTTGTATTTTTAGTAGAGAAGGGGTTTCACCATATTAGCCAGGCTGGTGTTGAACTCCTGACCTCAAGTGAACTACCGGCCTCCGCCTCCCAAAGTGCTGGGATTACAGGTGTGAGCCACTGCGCCCGGCCCCGGTGGTTCATTTTAAAGAAAATTCAGTCGTTTTGGGGCTACTTTATCAAAATTTATGTATTTTCAGTTTTCCTCTATTTCTGCAATTTTTAAACAACATTCATATTTTGCTTAAGTTTCACAGATTATCACCGATTTAAATATAAAAACAAAAACATTTCAATATAGAAAAAGGTTGAGTAAAAGATAAATCATGTATCTAAAGTTAATACAACAGGCCAGGCTCAGGCGGCTCCTGCCTCTAATCTCCGCACTTTGAGAGGCTGAGGCTGAAAGATCACTTAAGCCCAGGAGTTCAAAACTGCAGTGAGCTATGATCCTGCAACTGCATTCCAGTCTGGGTGACAGAGCAAGCCCCTGTCTTTAAAAATAATAGAAAAGAAAAAAGCACACAAACAAAAAATAAAACAAAAATAAGTACAATCAGTACAACAAAATGTTTGATAAGCCTCCAAATATATCTGAGTTGCCTCCCCTGCCTTTCAACTCATTAGGGTGAACATCTAATCCCTCTATTCAGAATGCTTCATGCCTTATGTTGCCACTAGTTCTCTTATCAAAATCATCTAGTTCTTCTCTTCAATCTGCTCTGAAATTTTAACTGCTCTGGAAAGCTCTCAATTGCACACCGTCCCTACTAAACATTCCACTGATCTCTGGTATCAAACACCCAAAGCAACTAATGAGGAATTTGCAATTTTAATATGTTCCAGAAACCGGAGTTAAAAAAAAATCAATAAACTCACGATAAGGGGAAAATTCTAAGGGTTTTCAAAATATAAAATCACCGCACTGTAAGATATATTAACTAGTAATCGTTTAAAATACAATTTTAGCGTCCTTAAACATTAAACCTTTGAACGCGTAAACAAAAGTTGCATGACCCAGTTTCATCACTGTTACTATTAACAATAATAATGGTACCTACCCAGTATCTCCCAATCCATGCAGGAAAATCACCTATAACAGAAAAGGAAAAATAATAAGCAATTCCTAAATAAGCCCACACAGGATTGTTACACACTAGCTTTGCTCAAGGTGGAAAACGGAAGGAAACCTACAAGAGAATTACACAACACTATCTTTGGCGACTTAATCTCTATCGACCTCTTTTAAATGGCAAAAATTCCAATCAACTTCTCCCTTTATTTCCTGAGATAATGAATGGGGGGTTAGCACTCAGAGGTCCCAGTTAGACAATGAGTGCAAATTATCACATTCTAAGAAAAACAGTTTATCTCTTTCAAGTCAAATCAGGAACGTCTCTCATATACCCTGTAGAATTTTTCCATTGCAAAAGCAAGCTTCCGTAGGCAAAAATAAGTTTGAGTTTTTGTACACGAGTTTCCTAAAAAAACAGTACGTCTGACCTTGTAGGACACTTAATCTTCAAACTTCTTGTATTGAGGACAAGAGTGCGAGATGACAATAAGGCGATTTCCTGGCGCACTTAGGTTTCCCTCACCCACACACCAGGCAGAAACACGCTGCAGAGGAGGACGCCGTGCCCCAAGGCCGGCCCGCGGGGGTCCCGGGGCCGCACTTCCTCCGCAATGGAGGGGGGAAGCTGGGGACTGGCCCTCGCCCTAGCTGTGACACTCCCCCCGCCTGCCCACGCCCCCCGCGGACCCGGCCGCGCCGACCACCCGCGCCGACCACCCGCGCCGACCATCCGCACCCCACCCAGGCCGGGAAGAGCGTCCTGGTCCGCAGGCCGCCACCCGCCCACAACGCCCACCCCGCGCGAGGGGCAGCCACTAGTGGCCGGCCCAGTGGACCACTCCGAGCCCACGCCTACGCCGCTCACCGCAGCGGTGGCCTTCCGGGCGGCGGGCACGATGGCAGGGAGCGGGGTTGACATGTTATTGCCGCACATACACCGGCTCAGCTCAGCGCAAGCGGAAGGAAGAGCGGGCGCCCGGCCGCTGCCCAAGGGCGTGCGAGCGGCGAGTCCCGGCCGGCCCCACCGGGCGCACGCTCAGGCGCGTGCGCGCCAACGCGGCCCCGCGCTACCTTCCGCGCGCCCCCGCGCGTTCAAGGTCCACCCTGCCCTTCGCCCGCCGCCCCTCCCTCCGCGCCTCACAATGTCTGGGCAGCTCCCTCCCTCCGATTGGCTGCGGCGGCGGCGCGGACTGGGCTGCGCTTTCGCCACGCCACGCAGCCCGCGCATGCTCGGTGCTGGCAGGGGAAATGCGCTCTCAGGTGCAGGCTGAGGGCCGGTCTCTTGGATCTTGGCTTAGGTTTTCGCTTTTCTGGCGCTGTAGTGAAAAGAATGAGCCCCGGAGCCAATTCACCCAACCCCAGGTGCTCCTTGGTTTCCTGCAGCCAGGGTCTATCATTTGTAAAAGTCTGGATGGACTGGGAGAGACTGGTGGACCTTTGGCAGTATTTCCGTTTGGGGCTACAGCAGTATGTAGATTTGGGTTCAACTTAGCTTCTTTACACTTTAGTTGGAAAGGATAACGTTTGTCTCCAGAAATCCACTACTTCCCCAACTTGATCGACAACACTTGTTGATGTATGGATATTGACACAGTACAGGTTTAAATGAGAGCTAAAGCCAGCTGGTCTTCTGGGTCGGGTGAGGACTTGAAGAACGTTTCTGTCTCATGAGAGGATTGTAAAACGCACCAATCAACACTCTGTGGCTAGCTAGAGGTTTATAAAATGCACCAATCAGTACCCTGTAAAATGGGCCAATCAGTGTTCTGTAAAGTGGACCAATCAGCAGGACATGGGCTGGGACAAATGAGGAAATAAAAGCTGACCATGCCCTCCCTTCCCCCAGCCGAAGCGGCCGACCGCTGGGGTCCGTTTCCATGCTGTGGAAGGTTTGTTCTTTCACTCTTCACAATAAAACTTGCTGCTGCTGCTCAGTCTTTGGGTCTGTGCCACCTTTAAGAGCTGTAACACTCCCAGCACTTTTGGAGGCTTAGGCGGGTGGATCATGAGGTCAGGAGATTGAGACCATTCTGCCTAACACAGTGAAACACCGTCTCTACTAAAAATACAAAAAAATTGGCCGGGCATGGTGGCGGGTGCCCGTAGTCCCAGCTACTCGGAAGGGTGAGGCAGGAGAATGGCATGAACTGGGAAGGCAGAGCTTGCAGTGACCCGAGATCACACCACTGCACTCCAGCCTGGGAGATAGAGTGAGACCCCGTCTCAAAAAAAAAAAAAAAAAAAGAGCTGTAACACTAACCACGAAGGTCCACAAGCTTCATTCTTGAAGTCAGTGAGACCACGAACCCAACTAGAAGGAACCAACTCCGGACACATAAGTAGGAGACTAGACTGACCTTTTCTGCACAGGTGACTTTATGGCCTAAAATGTAGTCACTCAACAAATGTGTAGCATATGGAATACATGGTAAGATCTGAAAGAGAGCACTAGATAGAAACACTTAAAGCCAAAATGCCCTGACCTTCAGAAGGTTACAATTAAGTGAAGAAACTCAAAGGACATACTGGATACAATCCTTAGAGAGTAAGGTTGGGAAGGAAGCTGTAAAAAACAACACTCCATTTCATTCACACCGTAATCAGTGTCAGAAGTGTGTGAACCAGAGCAACTCCATTTTAAATAGGAGCTGAGTAAAGAAAGGCTGAAACCTACTGGGCTGCATTCCCAGACGGTAAAGGCATTCTAAGTCACACGATAAAATAAAAGGTCAGCGCAAAATACAGGTTATAAAGATCTTGCTGATAAAATAGTTTACAGTAAAGAAGCCTGCGAAAACCCACCAAAACTAACATGGCAATGAGAGTGAACTCTGGTCGTCCTCACTACTGCACTCCCATCAACGCCATAACAGTTTATAAGTGCCATGGCGATGTCAGGAAGTTACCCTGTATGGTCTAAAAAGGGGAAGCATGAATAATCCACCCCTTGTTTAGCATAGCATCAAGAAATGACCATAAAAATGGGCAACTGGCTATGGAGTAGGCATTCTTTTATTTCTTCACTTTCTTAATAAACTTGCTTTCACTTTACTGTATGGACTTACCCTGAATTCTTTCTTGTGTGAGATCCCAGAACCCTCTCTTGGGGTCTGGATTGGGACCCCTTTCCTATAATACCAGCGTTCTGAAGGATTTGGGGTCTTATTCACACTGTTTTTAATCATTCTTGTAGATTGGATTTGGACAATGAGGATTTTGTGGGTTCTCCAAAAGTTTTAAATTGATGCCAATTTATTGAAAATGATGATAGTGGGATTCACATTTCATGTACTTGTGTACATTTATCAGGCTTTTAAGTCATTTAGTTGTGATGTCAATGTGACCGGAAAGGGATCCCGGTCCCAAGAGAAGATTCTTGGATCTCTGGTAAGAAACAATTTGGGGCCACAGAGTAAAGTGAAAGCAAATTTATTAGAGAAGCGAGAAAAAAAAAAAAAAAAGAATGGCTACTCGGTAGGTAGAGCAGGGCTAGGGGCTGCTCCACTGAGTATATTAATAGTTATTTCTTGTTTATATGTTAAACAAGGGGTGGATTATTCATGAGTTTTCTGGTAAAGGGGCAGGGATTTCCTGGAACTGAGGGTTCCTCTTTTGACCATATAGGGTAGCTTCCCTACCTGGCGATAGCATTTGTAAACTGTCATGAAGCTGGTGGGAGTGTCTTTTAACATGCTAATATGTTATAGTAAGTGTATAATGAGCAGAGAGGACGACCAGAGGTTGTTTTCCTTTCCATCTTGGTTTTGTTGGGTTTGGGCCAGATTCTTTACTGCATCCTGTTTCATCAGCAGGGGCTTTATGACCTATGTCTTGTAATACCAGTCCTGTGACCTCCAATCTCATTCTGTGACTAAGAATGCCTAACCTCCTGGGAATGCAGCCCAGTGGGTCTTGGCCTCATTTTACCTGCTTCCATTCAGAAGGAAGTCGCTCTGGTTCTAATGCCTGTGATGTTAATCGAGAAAATAAAACTCTGTAATTCTTACTGTGAACGTGTTCCAAATCACTATTACGTTGAGTTTTTCTGTGATGTAATAAGTAGAGAATCCTAGGGGCCACCAATCATTCTATTAATTTACTCCGTTAGTGGGGAGTAGGTCAGTTCAAGTTGAGGTGTCTACACTACTATACCTGCAACATTTACCCAAGTTATGTATCCTCCAGGGAGCTTTCTATGAAACTGATCTCTCTCTTCCCCAGGTAAGGGAATGAAATAAATATAATAATTGAAAAAGACAAAAATATTCTTATTTTAGAGGATATGATTGTACAAAGCAAAAACACAGTAAGAGCATTTAAAAATTACTAATAAGGCCAGGTGCAGTGACTCACACCTGTAATCCTAACACTTTGGGAGGCTGAGGTGGGAGGATTGCTTGAGCCCAGGAGTTAAAGACCAGCCTAGGCAACAGAGTGAGACCCTGTCTACAAAAAATTTAAAAAGAAAAAAATTAGCCAGGTGCAGTGACTCACACCTGTAATCCTAACACTTTGGGAGGCTGAGGTGGGAGGATTGCTTGAGCCCAGGAGTTAAAGACCAGCCTAGGCAACAGAGTGAAACCCTGTCTACAAAAAATTTAAAAAGAAAAAATTAGCTGGGCTCAGGAGGCTGTGGCAGGGGCGTCGCTTGAGTCCAGGAAGTCAAGGTTGCAGTGAGCCATGTTCATGCCACTGCACTCCAGCCTGGATGATAGAGCAAGACCCTGTCCCCACCCGTGCCCCCCAAAAACAAACATTATTAACAAGAAAATTCAGTAATATAACCAATTATTAAATCAACATACCAAAAGGAATGGTTGGCTGGGCGCGGTGGCTCAAGCCTGTAATCTCAGCACTTTGGAAGACTGAGACGGGCAGATCACGAAGTCAGGAGATCGAGACCATCCTGGCTAACACGGTGAAACCCCGTCTCTACTGAAAAATACAAAAAATTAGCCGGGCATGGTGGTGGGCACCTGTAGTCCCAGCTACTCGGGAGGCTGAGGCAGGAGAATGGCGTAAACCCGGGAGACAGAGCTTGCAGTGAGCCGAGATCGCCCACTGCACTCCAGCCTGGGCAACAGAGCGAGACTCCGTCTCAAAAAAAAACAAAAACAAACAAAAAAAGAATGGTTATTCTAGCTACAAACAATAGCTGGTTAGAATATGTAAATGGAAGAAAAATGTTCAAAATAGAAATTTAAAAATATAAACATAGGTCAGCCTGAGTGACAGAGTAAGATTCTATCTCAAAAAAAAAAAAAAAAAGGGGGCCGGGCACGGTAGCTCATGTCTGTAATCCCAGCACTTTGGGAGGCCAAGGTGGGCGGATCACCTGAGGTCAGGAGTTCAAGACCAGCCTGGCCAACATGGTGAAACCACGTCTCTACTAAAAATACAAAAATTAGCTGGGCATGGTGGCAGGTGCCTGTAATCCTAGCTACTTGGGAGGCTGAGGCAGGGAGAATCACTTGAGCCCGGGAGGTGGAGGTTGCAGTGAGCAGAGATTGTGCCATTATACTCCAGCCTGGGCAACAGGGCAAGACTCTGTCGCAAAAAAATATATATGTGTGTGTGTGTGTGTGTGTAAGTAAATACATATTATATATATAAATACAGGCATATATATTATATATATTTATTTATATATATATACACACACAAACAGGCAAAACTTTTTTAAAACCACTTTATTGAGGTATGATTGACATCATCTTGATGAGTCTAGGGGCAAGCATACACCCATGAAACCATCACCACCATAAAAGTCATAAACACATCCATCACCTTCCAAAGTTTCCTCCCATCTTCTTTATTAATATTATTATAGGGTTTTTTAAACAGATGCAGTGGCTCATGCCTATAATCCCAGCACTTTGGGAGGCTGAAGCAGGAGGATCACTTGAAGCTGGGAGTTAGAAAGCAGCCTGGGAAACATAGGGAGACCTTGTTTCTACAAAAAAAAAAAAAAGTTTGTTTAATTAGCTGGATGTGGTGGTGTGCACCTGTAGTCCCAGCCACTTGAGAGGCTG